CACACACACACACACACACACACACACACACACACACACACACACACGCCCCTGTGCATGCTCTGCCTTCACACACTGTCCCAGCCCAAGGGGGACCAGCCCTTCTGTCTCCGGTCTAAGCTGAGCGGACTCTATAACTACTCTGTGATCATAGAATTCAGAGCCGGGAGGGACCCTAGAGACGTTCTTTGTCTTTTTTCATTCTGTGGACTCCTCAGAATGTCTTTAAATGTGTAAAACAAGGTACCTAGATTTACAGAGGAAACTGATTATATTGAAATAGTTCTTCAAAAGAAAAAAGTTCACAGACCTCAACTTAAGAACCCCTGAATCTAGCCTCACCCCTAACCTCTGGGGTCCCTTCTGTCTCTAAGGATCTGCTCTTTTTTCTCGACCCAGGGAAGGGGGGTGATCTGCCCCCAAAATCCCCCAGGAGTTCTGTGGGCTCTCCTCCCCGGGCTGGTACTTGTTGAATAAATGAGTTTGCTCAGTCTTCTGCCTTGGGGAAAACATAAAAGGGGATGGGGATGCAATGGGGGGAGACAACCTCATCAGCACCCACTGTAAAAAATGGGATGGGGGAAATAGGAACTATGTGCAGGCAAGAGAAGCCGCCCTTCAAAGGAGAGTGCAGACCGTGCTGGGAATATAGCGGCCTGGACACTTAAACACTTGGTGTGTGGAGTGGCGATCTTGTGGCTCTAAGAAGACAAGGCCCTGATTGCCTTGCCTGTCTTGTATTTGTCTCCTGAAGGCTCCCAGCCCTCGTTGGGTGAAAGGTCTGCAGAGGACCAGGAGGAGGGAGGACAGGAGGTAGAACCCCAGGGAGCATCCCCGATGTCTGGTGGCCCCCCAGGGGTGTTAGGCCCAGACCACGGGGGCCAAGCAGAGCAGCAAGACCGGGAGATTGGGGCCCAGCTCCGAAGGATGGCCGATGACCTCAATGCTCTGTATGAGCAGCGGGTGAGTCCCGGGCAGCACCTGCGTGGCCGGGGTCACATTGCAGGTGGGACTGCCCTTTCTGGCAAAGGGCATTGAAGTGTGTTAAAAAAAGGGTCACACCAAAGCAGGGGTGGGAGGGGAGTCTCTGGCCATCCAGACCCTTTGCCTCTTCCGGACCCCAGCCTTGGCTTGATGCCAGGAAGCCTTCCCAGATTGCACAGGCGCGCGCCCGTCCATGCGTGCACACACACACATACAGCACCCCCTGGGGAAAGGCCAAGGGTGAGTTTTGGGGGGCGGGGGCTGGAGAAGGCTTTCCGTGCCCAGCTGCACTGTTGCCAGATGTGCAGCAGCTGCTTCCCCCCCCTCCCCGGGTTGAACTCAGGACAAGAGGGAGGGGCAGAGGAGGAGAGGGAGCTGAGATCCCCTAATCTACCCTCCCAGGATTATGGAGCGAGGGGGGTGGAGGGGGTGTGGTTCAGGGCCTGCTGGGATCTGGCCGCGTGGTGCCCGAGCTTTGGCCTGGGACCAGACGCAGCCTCTTCGGGCTGGAAGGGCTTCGGGTTGAGCAGGGGTTGCACCCCTGGGCGGTGGGGGAGGGGAGAGCGTGCTCTCCCCGACTTCCTCCCTTGGCCAGCTTCGGCTGGGACTGAAGGGGCCGGCAGCTCCGGCGGCTCATATATCTTGGGCTATTTATAGCGAGTGAGTCAGCATTGGCAAATGCCTGCCTCCCTCTCCCCAGCTCCCTCCTCCTCCTCCTCCTCCTCCTCCTCCACCAGCCCTCACTTCCCGCCTGCTGATGCTGGCTCAGCGCCTGCCCAGAACAAACAAGCCAGCCTTCCCCGGGCTGAGCTGGAGGGGAGGGGCTGGGGAAGCCCAGCACCCTCCCCACGCAGGCATCGTGAGGAGGGGCCTGGGGCACTGAGAGCTGGGACTTGGGAGGGACTTGGCCAAAGCTTGCCGGAGGAGGCCCGGGCTGCCGGCCTGGGCTGCTCAGCCCCGGGGACAGTCAGGCCCCGGCCTCCCTCCCGGGCTTGACCTCTCCCCCAGGGTGGAAACCCGAAGGAGTCATTCACCTTTCTGGTGAGGAGGCTCAGGCCCCCTCCGTGGCCTAGGCCTGTGATGGGACATCAGTAATAATCACCTACTGAGTGCCAAGCACTTAGAATGTTGATCTCCTTAGGCCCTGACAACAACCCTGGGAGGTAGGTGCTATTATTGAGCCCATTTTACAGATGGGGAAACTGAGGCAGGCAGCAGTGAAGTGACTTGCCCTGGGTTATACAGCTAAGAAGGAAGTGTACTGGGCTGGATCCGAACTCGGGTCTTCCTGGCTCCAGGGCCTGCACTCTGCCCGCTGTGCCCTGGCTGCCCATCTTAGGAGCCCAGCTTCTGCACTTCCTGGCAGCGTGGCCATAGACGAGCTACTTGACCTTGATGAGCCTCACTTTCCTTGTCTGGAAAAGGGGTAATCTTCCCACCACCACCTTGCAACGGTTGTTTGGAGGAAAGCGTTTTTGGGAACCATAAACACCACATAAATGTAAACTCTAACCTCCATCCCTCTTCATGGAAATGTAAAGTCTCTAAGTTACTATGTATGTGTTTGTGTATATATACACTAAACTATATATGTATATATACACTACAGTGGTGTTTGTATATATACATATACACATATACATATACACACACGTAAAAGTTATACTGCAATCGAGTTCCTGGAGAAGGGGGGGAGCCAGGCCCATAAAGCAGGTGGGAAGCTGCCCCTTTGCACCTGGCCTTTCCCAGTGACCCAGCGACCTCATTGCTGCCCCCCCACCCCCATCTCCTCTCCCCAGAAGCTGGCAGTCCCAGACCAGGTTCTAACACTTCACCCCTCCCCTCTTTGCCCACAGAGACGAGAGGAGGAGCAAAGACGGCATCTCTCCCCCTGGAGGCTGCTCTACAATCTCGTCTCAGGACTCCTGGCCCCACACCGAGGGAACCGGATCCCCGAGATCGAACCCAACTAGCCTCCAGTGCCCACCTTGCAGGACACCATGTGTTGGGGGGGTGCAGCTGGAGGAGCTCTGGAGGGCAGGACCTTCCAACCCCCCCCCCCTTCCTGTGGACTCTTGGCAAAATGTAGCATATCAGAGATGGGCACATATGCCCCCTTTGGGGGGGGGCCAGGGTCGGGGCGAATGACTCTGGGTCCAGCACTGGAAAAAGCCCCTGCCTGGATTGCTTGGGAGGACAGTTGTGGGGGGGCGGGGAGCAGTTCTGACTCACTGGAGGCCCCAGGAGGAGGGGGCCTGGTGGGAGGAAAGGGGGAGCCTCCAGAGGGGGCACCCAGGGAGTCCGGGGGGATGGTAAGTGATGGAGCTGCCCCCTCTGCCCCCTGCCATCTCAGGAAGGGCCAGGGCTCGGGGCCTCCTTGTCCCTGGCTTATCCTCGTCCTGCCCAAGGTGGCTGGCCTTCTCTCCAGGCTTTGCTCTCTGCCTTGTTGGAACGAGCCAAAAACTAACCACTAGCTTCCCAGAGGGAAAGAGGCGCTAAGCTGTACCACGTGGAGCCAGTCTGTCTTTCCTGAGCCGGCAGGTAACCCTGCCTCAGTTTTCATTACCTTGGGGAGGGGTGAGAAGGAAACAGAAGGGGGGATGGCCCTCTCTCTAGCACCTCCCAAGTCAACCCCACTGCGGAACTGAAAAAGTGTGGGGTTCACCTTCCTCCCCTGTGCCCCAGGAGGCTGAGGGAGGAAGCCTCTGGGCAAGAAGGCGTGGGCTGACATTCCCCCTCGGGGCAGGACGGGGACCCTCCGAGCAAGGAGGCTTTGGGGGAGGGGGCAGGGGAAGGGAGGGAGGGAGGAGGGGCCTAGCTTGTAAATAGACTGTACATGATGCTGTGTGCTGTAGATACTGGAATGAATTTTCTGTACATGTTTGGTTAATTTTTTGTACATGATTTTTGTATGTTTCCTTTTCAATAAAATCAGATTGGAGCAGGAACAGTTTCCCTTCTTGCCTTTCTCCCCCTACCCCCAAATTCAGGGCAGAGGGCTGGGTTGGGAGGCTTGAGGCAGCATGGGAGCCTGGGGGAATGGTATGTGACAGAGCTGCCCTCCTCTGCCTCCTGCCATCTCAGCAAGGGCTGGGGCCTCCCGTTTCAGCCTAGACACAGACAAGCGTGGGATGTGGGCAGCTTCTCACCTCCCTGGCTGGTGGCTAGTCCTTGGCCAGCCCAAAGGGACACTGCCAAACAATTGCTCTGTACACCGCTGAGCAGTCCCTGCTGCCCTCCACCTTCAGATGCCTCATCTGTAAAATGGGGACAATAAGTACATTAATCACCAGAAGGGAAGTGGATGATCCGAAATCCTTTCCCGCTCCCAGAGTCCATGATCTCCAGCCGCTCTCCACTTAGACCCAGGCTTGGGAGCTGTGCCCAGCTCTGTGAACTTGAATAGGAAAAGTGTGGTGTTTGTTTCAGTACACACGTTCCCTTTGCGGTTTATTTTGTACATTTAAAATGTGATTTTGAGAAACCTGCCCAAGGGGTCCGTTACACAGAAAACGTGAAGAAGTCCAGGACTAGACCCTTGCTCTTTACCAGGATGGAGAAGGGAAAGGGAAAAAAAAAACCATTTTGGAGTGAAAAGGACAAGGATCCGGGGCGTTTCAGAGAAGGAAAGAGTGACGTCTAACTCGGGGGAGAGGGGAAGGGGTGCAGAGACTCCCGGAGGGCTTCCTGAGGGTGGGGTCTCAAGCAGACCTTCAGAGAGCTGCCTTCTGAATTCTATGATGGGTCTAGCTCAGCCCGCACCGGATGGGAATCCCCTTTCCTGGGGGACAAGTGGTCATACAACTAGTGCTTTGCACTGGAGTGGGGGCCTGGGGGTCCCTGCTCTCAGGATGGGCTTAGAAAGACAGGGAACCTTTCAAGAGAACACTGTGCTCAGGGTGGCATCTTCTGCGAGGGGTGGGGGAGTGGGGGGGAGGACCTTAAGGCCTAAAAGGAGACTAGGAATAGGAAGAGTAGAGGCAACTTAAGGGAGGGAAACAATGGCCCAGACTGAATTAAGTTCAACAAACATTAAGCACCTACTGTGTACGACACTATCTTAAGTGCTGGGTAGGAGGGAGGTTCCTTCAAGGGATGTCACTCACAAGTGACTCTCCCAGTGGTGCAGAATGAAGCCCATCGTGCCTTCTCATGCAGCCCTCCGGGGTGGACCCCCCATGCCCCAGGCCTTTCTCTGCCGGAGCCTGTAGGCCGGTGCGTTTGCCAAATAAGCCTGCGTACTTCTTTGGTCCCTATAACAGCCTCTCCACAGTCTTCCTGAGCGATTCCTCATTGGTGACGTGTGGTGGCCTACTCGAGCTCACCATCAGGCCTCTGCACGGCCCTCTGGGGAACTTTGAACTGTAATTCTTCAAACACTAGTATTTTATGACTCATTGCTACGTGGCACCTCCATTGCTGTTAAAAGAGATGGGCCGTCACTTCAGGCACAAGCTCGGGATCATTAAAAGCGTTTTGCAATTTCTGAAATGCAATTGGGCCTGCTTCCCCCTCGATTCAGGGCCCGGCAGCTCGTTGCACATTCACAAGATAGGGGCCTGGGTTGCTATCCCGCTGTACGTCATGATCTGGACAACAAATGTTCCTCCTCCACTGGGTTTTTCCCAGGCGAAGTTAGAATCTCATCTGGAGGCAGCTCTGCACTCTTTCAGAGCCTGATGCTCTGATAGCACGATGGTCTATGCAACCATGACATCTGGAGGCTTTGCCACTGGTAGAGAATTACGCTTTCATTTGGATGTCCTCCATGGAAGGGGTAAACACTTTGGGTGAGCTGTCCCGGTATGTTATCCCTCAACTGGTGATAAAAAAAAGGCTTATTTCTGTTTGAACATTTTCCTTCTGATGGTTATCCCCAAGTGACCCTGTTGTATCTTGTTTGTTTGATATCTCCCCCATCAGACTGTGAGCTCCTTGAAGGCAGGGACTGCTCGGGCAGATAGCCAACACTTAATATTTGACTTAGGATTTTAACATCCAGATGAGAAACATTTTATTGGGGAAAAGCGTTTAGAGATACGTTTTATCCTTCAGAACAGAGACTTTTTGTTTTGTGTTGTTTTTCCCATAACCAGCAACCAACAAGCCCAGTGAAACTCTGTGTTCACAGTACCTGTCAGTCACCTAAGCAATTGTAAACACGTGGTCCTAAATATTGCAAAAGATTGTTTGTGAAAGCCTGCTTGCTCCTTTCTCATACTTTCATTAAGGCTACCCTCCACGAATGTGTAGATATTCTCATAAAGGATTTGGAGAGATGGGAAACTAGGTACGAGTCAATATTTGTTGATATTTTTTTGCCACCTTTTTATTCAATAAAATGTGATCGGTGGTTCTTCCAAGAGTCGATGTCCTCCCCTCTATCACGGATCTTGAGAATCAGTCCCTCAATGCCCTCAAAATTACGTGGCTTCCCTGGCTTTGTTCCCACCCTTTGCAAGAAGCCTTTTCTGGGCCCCCTAAATACAGGTGCCTTCCTTCCCTGTGTGATTATCTGCAGTTTACCCTGTATTTTGTATGTAAATGGTTGTTTCCCCCATTTGATGGTAAGCTCCTTGATTGGAGGGACCCTGTTTTTGCCTTCTTTTGTACCCCCTGTGCAGCATTCAGCATCATGCCCGGCACACAGTAAGTGCCTAATAAACGCTTGTTAACCTGACTCTGAATATGTGGATTTGTCCAGCTGCTCTTCCCGTCTTTGTTTTCCTTAGTGGCAAGAGCAGTGATTTTTTATTTTTAATAATAATCATGTAGTTTTCTTTTATGCACATATCAGGAACCATGAAAGTAGACTCTCAGTGTGGCAGCTTCTGTGATGGATTGAGAAAAGAGTTTGTAATGATAATAAAAACTTTTAGTGATCTTTTCCATTTTTTTACGTTTGTTGTTCTAGTTTCAGCCTCAAATGCCTTAATCGGGTTCTCCCCAGGCTGTCTGTGAACCTTTATATTCCTCTATTTCTCACTGTTTTATGAGGCAGCATTACTCATAATCTTTCACCATCCCCCTCAATGAACTTCTACAAATGAGCTCATATTCTAAATTCCTCTTACCATTAGTTGCCATGTAGCTTTGCTTGGCAAGATCAAGGGTTTGCTGACTCAGGCAGCTCCTAGGTGTTTCTGGGTTCCTCGAGGATGCAATTGATTTATCATGTTGGTTAAACGAATGGAGGAAATGGTGCCGGTCAGTGTTGATGTCTGTTCTTTTGGCCATTTTCGATTTGCCAATGTGAGCAGTGTATTGAAGTAGGTTTAAGTTGGAGGTGCCTCGAATGTACCCATCTTCTCATTTTTATTCTTTCTTGTTTGACTTTGCTGCAACAAGGAAATAGCTCGACCAGGAACTGACTGCTGATTCAGAAATGAATCACAGAATTTGAAGGTGGAAGGGCCCTCGACAGCAGAGTCCATCCCACTTCCACAAAACCAATAGAGGGTCTTCCCGCTGCTGGTTAGAGACCTCCTCCAAAAAGGAGGAGCATGCCACCTCTCTACGCAGCCCCCTTGCATTTGGGGTTTAGTCCTAAATGTTAGGAAGTTTCTCTTGATGCTGGGCCTAAATTGACTTTTTTCTACAACATCCACTCATTGCGTATTTGCCCCCTGGGCTAAACATCTCTCAAAGGGCTGCACTTGAGGACCTAGAGGGCCTCGAGGCCACAGGTTCCCCACACCTGATCTAACCCCTTCCCCAAATACTAGAAGACAGTCACCATGCCTATTCCCCCCCCCCCCCCCCCACTGCAGGCTTCTCTTCTCCAGGCTCCATCAACCCTGTCTATCTCTGTAATAAGTCATCTCCTGTTTGTTAGGATATAATTAACTTCATTTTTTGTGATGCTCACCACATCCAGCACGTCCTCTCTTCATGAAGAAAGTATTCATTATATCTAGCTATGAGCTTTGGAGAAGCTGACAAGCCTTTGGTCTCTCTCATTTCTTACTCCTGAATGATGTTTTTCTGCATTTTCCCCCATGCTTCATTTGCATTGAAGTAACCAATTATTAAACTATATTCAGTCTATCTCAGGTGGATCTGTGATCATGTTGATGCTGGTATTCTTTCCAGTGATATAGACTATGAACTATCTAGGGTAACTAACCCATCCGACATCCTTCTTGTCCACGTTCTTCCACAAGGAGGTCCCACCCATACAGAGAGGGGACGAGTGGAGCATGCCGGCCGTCACTCTCACCATGTGACCAGTCCTTCTCTTTAATCCTCTGTGTCTTTGAGGACTCCCTTTACTCCATTTCTCCTTCATAATGTGTTGTTTGTAATGAGTTACATGCAGCCTGTTCATACTTACCATCTGCCCCTCTGCTGCCCTCCAGGGGATACTCATGCTCATGCTTAGCATGTGCCCCTCTGCTGCCCTCCAGGGGATACTCATGCTTACATCTACCACGTGCCCCTCTGCTACCCTCTGAGTGATCCTCATTTTCAATTTTTTAGAGACTGTAGTATTCCATGACTCGCAGTCATACAAACAACACAGGCAGAAATGTAATATTAAAAAGGTGGGCCTCTATTTCAGGGAGAAGTTTGGAGTCATTAAAAGAAGAACTGTACAATTCTTCAACACTTTTGTTTAATGGTGGGAGGGGAGACCCAACTCATTATCCATTTGCAGTATTTGTCAAAGGTACTTATATACCGATAGACAAGCTTCATAGCTCATTCTTGTTTATCACAATCCGGACAATGGGCATTCTTCATCCACTTGTTTTTTTCTATGTGGAAGGTTAGGCCAAATTCCTGACTCACTCTGCATCACTAAGAAACTCTGCAATTTTTCGGGGCCTGATATGAACTACAAACAGAAGCATCTGGTACACTTCACCACTGAGAGGGAATTCTTCTTTAACTTGAACTCTGCACTGCTATCTCCTTTGTGGCAACGGCGAACTCTTCCGGCCAACATATGTC